ACTACACCACGAAGGACGCTAGGGAAGTGGGAGAAATACCTTATATGATTTAAAAAGATAAAGAATTCAACGTAATAATTCTTAGAAATAAGCGAAGATTTCATTTCTGTTTGCGGTTTCTTTGGGAATTATATACGACGTTATCAAAGCATTAATATTATGGTAGGGAACCACCAATAAAAGTGTAATGCTTGACGTGAAGGTTATAGTGCTTGATCGACATGTGTGAGGTGCAACTCGGAAGAAATTTACCCATGCCTCTGACAGGAATGGGGGACAAGTAGCGTCATTAACGGGATTGCTCTGCAATAAGATCTAAAATGTTTCTAAGAAACCCAAATTTTGGTGTGAAGCAAGGCAAGCAATAATTTTGACATCGAAAAATTCAAATTTGTGGTTTTTATCGCAACAATAGGATGCTACTGAAAATCTTTTTCATTTTCTAATGTTTAATATAGCGTGTATATGTTTACTTATCCTGGATTTTGAAGATTTGATATTTGTTTTTTAGATGCAAAAACAACAAGCAATTTTATTAATGTCTTATGAATGAGTGTTTGATTTTTGATCTTTTATAACTGAGAACTTGATTACCGTTTTAAAGAAACCATATTGTTTGAAATATTTAACAAGTAAAAGTTTGTGTTTAGAAGGAAATGGCCAAAAAATAGAAGAAAATGAAATATCTTTAGTTTGAAGATTTAAAACTGAAGGTTTTCCATATTCTTTTAAATCTGAAATATATTGGCACTTGTCAGCTTTACTGGCGATCAGAGATTAATCGTCAAGCTTGGCGGTTTATCGTCAAAAGATATAGCAAACCACAACCATAAAAAAAACAAAGTGGGGAGAATTATGAAATCGTTCATAAGGCTGTGTTCAGACGGTGACGTAAATGTCAACCACAAGAGTCATAACGACAAGGGAATAAATTGCGGGAATTCCGATCACACCTGCGACACAGAGCTAAGGCGTAGAGAAGCTAAATTTGCGCATGCGTGGATGTTTCTACAGCTTTCCCACTCTGTTTTTCCACTCAGGTTTCGCGCATTCGCTCTGACTGGTCGGTGCTTATCCCAAATCGGCATAAAGTTGAAAACTTCGAACTTTATGCCAAGTGCTTTAAACCAGATTTAGTGACGTAGCACACACTGGTTGCCTAGCAACGAAGCTTGGCTTAACCCACTTATGCCAGACTTTACCATCGTCTGAACGCAGCTTAAGAAAACTCTCCCGGATTTTATAATCATGAGAATTTCCTATCTACCGTCAAGTGAAAATGTAGTTATAGCCTTCTTCTGAAGAAATGGGGTTTTACTGTCCCCACCGAATTCAGGGAAACGCGGATGATGTAAAATTACATACCATTGCGGAAGTCACAAAGGTATGTAATGGTAAACGTTGCCGAAAAGAAGGAATGCCTTCGCATCGCCACCTGATTCGCCGTTTCAAAAGTTGTATTCTTGACAATACTAAGCTGCCATTTAAGATTAATAGCCACGTACTACGTAATAAATTACAATTTATTTTTAAGAAGGAATTTGTATTTTTGAAAATAACCTTTTTTTTTCGAAAGGATTAATATGGCGTCTAAATTTGGTAATATTTTCTTCTTACCGCTTTCGCCGCCCCTAAAACTTAAAGGTAATACTAAAAAATATTTCACTGAAATAATTAAAAATCTTTTATCTGTTAAAACACTAGGCAAATATTTGCATTTATTTTTTGTTCTAGCTAACACATACTGTTAGGTCATTCAAACAGAATGAAAGTAAACAATATGCCGTGAGCATCACATAACTTTTTCATATGGCCTATTAAACAGTACACATTTTTGTTGCACTTCATTTATGCGTATTTCCTCCAATTATTCTAACATCATTAACCGATCTCCCAAGGCAAGTTGAAAATGACATCAAAAGCTAGGAATTTTGAAATTAAATATCCCTGTTAATTTTTATCGTACAGTGAGTCAAATTTCTTTCCCTAATATACACTTTTAGTATTGCCGAAAGGGAGGTGCACAACTATTTATGTTATATTCTCATATATAAAAATACAATGTTCTGTGGTTAATCGTTTTTGAGCTATACGAGACATCTTCGTACGTACAGGTGTTTAAAAAAAATCCATTTTAAATCCAATTTACAATCGGTTTTGGAAGAAAGAGTCCTTTATTCTGACCGTACGCACATATTTGACACATAAAAATAATAAAATGAATAATTCCTTTGAAATGTGTAGCATCCAAAACATTTTTACGATTACAAAACTTCCTTTACTTAATACAAGGAAGTAAAACGTATATATATATATAGAGAGATAGATAGGTACCCCCCCCCCCCCCCCCCCCCCCCCCCCCCCCCCCCCCCCCCCCACCCCCCCCCCCCCCCCCCCCCCCCCCCCCCCGAGATAGATAGAAAGATACATAAACATATAAATAAAAATAAAATAGGGCTCTGAAACTTTTATTAACAGTTGCAAAAATTAGTCCAGGAACTACCCTAATTCTTATCACTTTGGAATGGACAGTAAAAGGTTATTGGTACAAAGGGGAAATTTGCTCAGAAGGGCAATTAATTTCGTTTTGGCATTTTACGTTGGTTCACTACAATCGTTATTTCCCTTTTCAAATTGGTGCCACCAAATATTATTGCCCTGTATTACATTTAAAGAAATTAAATAATGAAGAATATGCATAAATGTATGCACATTTCTCGCATTGTGATAAAACAGTGGTACATAGAGGGTCAGTTTGAACACCCAACAAGCACCGGAACGCACAATGGAACCTAGAGCCATCCGATTTTGAATAACGTAATCCTCTTGCGAATATGTGTATCTGGAAGCGCGAATTTGAAATTTGGAATATATTTTATTATCGATTTCATATATTGTAAAATTTTAACGAATTTTTGATTAACAAACCCAATTTCAAAGCGAGCAATGGCAAGGATTTCAAAGCGAGCAATGGCAACGTTGTACAGAAAAAACACTTTTATCTCCAGCGCGCGAGACTGTGTATCGGAAATCCAAAAGATATGCTCATTTTAAAACCATTTTGCGATATTGCTCTTGAAATTAATTTTATGGTTTATGTGCGAAGAACATATTTAATGAATAAAGGTAAAGCCCAAAATGTTAAAAAACCCTTTTGGACGTAATTTAAAAATCTGAAGCCTTTCAGATTTTAATTTTCATTGACTTATAATTGCTCTCTTAGGTAATATAAAGGCCATCTTAATAAACATAAGTTTATGCAAATAGAGACTAAAATAAGTAATTGTGCAAATTTAGCTAATAAATGTTGTTTAAATGCAGGTCTAGAACAACTTGAGGTCAAAAATGGACAGGGAAATGTATTAGCGTGCTTCTTGTTAGTTATTTTTCCTGCAGAGGGGCAATTTGCCCTGAAAGACTATTAATTTCGTTTTGGCATATTGTGTTGAAAAATTTAAAAGGCTGTATCACTTTTCAAATCGTTGCTATCATATATTATCGCCCTGTCGGATATTTAAAGAAATTAAATAATGAAGAATCTGCATAAATGTATGTATGTTTCTCGCAGTGTGATAAAACAACGGTACCTAGAGCCATCAAAATTTGAATAACGTAAACTTCCATGGAATAAGGGCATGTGAAAGCCCTAAATTGAATTTGAAATTTGTTTTATTAGCGATTTCAAATTTTGTAACTCTACAAAGAATTTTTATTAAAAATCTAAACAATTTCAAAGCGAACAATGGCAACCTGTAAAAAAAAAAAAAAATCTCCAGCGCACGAGACTCTATCGGAAAATTTTAAAAATATGCTCATTTTAAAATTCATTTACGACATTGTCCTTGAACTGAATTTTATGGTTTGAGTGCGTAGAACATAACATTTAATAAATAAATGTAACACACAAAACGTTAAAAAAATGCCCCTTTGGACGTAATTTAAAATCTGAAAACTCACAGATTTTACATTAAAAATTTTTTTAATCCTAAAATTTACTAAAATAAAATTCATTAATGCACTGCACGTCAGACTGCATAGGTCATATATTTTATCTTAGTTTCAGATTATGGGATTCTTTGTCACACAGGTGAGAAAGAAACGCTCGAAATTATCATCGTCTGCGCATGTTAAACGACCACTCTCCCCAACCTGCAGAGTTTCCATCAATCGGAGAGTAGCTTCGTGATTGGTGCGCGTACGAGAAACGCGCGAGACCGAAAAATCAGCGCCGTATGTAAACCTCCGATGCGAGAACACACTAAAGTATTTATCGAGCTCTTGAAAACCCACCTTAGCGAGCTTCAACGTTGCTATTCATTCAACAAGTTGCCACGAAAGTAACTTACACATAAGGCCAAATTTAAGATCTCATTTTCTTAGTGACACTGAAATGAGTAGAAATTGTTTGTGTCGAATTCAAGTCAACTTCAAATACAACTTTAGGATTTTTCTTTGATTGGATTTTGAGAAAAATATTTCTCGTATTGGTTTAACACTTTTAAGTAACCGGTATGTTAATTATTATTTGATATCATTAATTTAAATTCGTAAAATTAATTAATCAGCATTTTAAAGGAACGTAAGAATTTTTATATAATATATATATATTGCTTCGTACCATCCTTGCGGTGAAAAAGTAACCAGAATTTGTTTTGCCTTCTTAAAGAGTGGGTCTATTTAAAATTTGTTTATTACTATTATTATCATAAAGTGAATATATTTACTTCACACAAAGTTTTGGACATAATTAAAAGAATTATAAAATCTAAGACAAAATAATAGTTTGTTAGCCAATTATGATAACCTAATATACGGACTGCTTAACATAATTCTTTAAATGAAAAGTAGTGAATATAGTCGCTCAGCAATCGCTAGTGCCGCAGAAAAAAAATAAGTTTTAATTAATACGTAAATTTCTTAAAACATTCTAAAATTTTCGAGTTTATAAATTTAAACAATCGATAAGTTGCCATTTTTTTTTACTAATATTTTATCACAAAATGGAAAATTCAACGCAAAACTGGCCAGTTACAATTTTAGTACGTGTTATGAAGCGGACCACCGGTGGTTTAGGAATTGTAGTGCGACCAAGGATACCAAACAAAGGAATAGCGATTAACGAACTTATTCGCGGTGGAGAGGCGGACAAAACAGGATTTTTGAGACCAGGAGATGTTATCCTCCGAGTGAATGACAAAGAACTAAGTGATCTGTCCTACGATGAATGTTTGCAAGTGCTCCAGGATCTGCCGAATGAGGAAGAAGTTAGTATTTTGGTACGTGCTTTAGAAGGGTACACCACCAAGTTAGTAACGACGTTCGACGAAGGAGGCTCAGCTCGTACAACTCGGATCATGGCTCCAATACCGAATTGCAACTCACCAATTCCTCATCTTAGAAGAGAGTCTATTTCGGAAGATAAAATCAGGAAACTTAGAGCCACTCTTGGACAAAGCAATTTGGCCAATCCTCAGCAGGAACTTATGCCAAAATTTGATACTGAAGGAAGAAACTTTTCCAGCTTGGTACCAAACGCAAGACACAATGGACCAGGAAATAGGAATCAGACTTCACCGGAAAGGCCAGCCACATTATCAGCAAAGTAAGTACCTGTTGATTTTCAAATTAATTATAATATTTAGTGACATTTTTTCATTCCTTCAACTGATTTTCGAAATTTGTATCATTACTGCTTTGTCAGACTTCAAAAACTTTGCTTTTCTTGGTCTTAAAACTATATTTTAAGAAGCTGGGAAAATTTTAATCTATTAACATCACCAGTTTAGATATGTGTAAATTTTTATTGATTTTCTTAAACGTGCTTACATGATATCTTTTATATATTATATATATATTCGTTTGCATTTTTTACGAAGCAAAATCAGTATTAAGTTACGTAAAATAAGATGCAGGAATAAAATATTTTTAGCAGAGCCTTTCGAGCTCTTTTGGTGATAAGCTTTATTTGTAGTATTTGGTTTTGGTTATAGAATGCGCAAAGTTAAGAATTACGCACGTAAATTACGATAGAATACGGGAGAATATAATTTATATAATTGTCTTTTACAACGTAATGCTATTTGAGAATTTTTTTCTCATTAAAACTTGAGTTATGTATGTTTGTGAGCTTGAATTTATTAAATGTTCCTATGAATTCTATATTCGAGTGTTTACAGGTATCTGGTTGAGCATACTAAGTGCGTAATTCTTAACAAGTACAAGTAGTTGAGCTACGTTTTACTTCAAAAAGCAATATGTTTATTTTATTTTTAAATGTCGCGAGATGCCGAAGATGATGCGGTCCATTGACTCATTTGGGTTAGACATCGCGTAAATTGATTAACCAGCGTAGTGATCGCTGGTTCGATATGTTTTCTGCTAAGCGCTTCCTTCTGTTGTTTTAAAACAGTTAAATAAAGTGTGCAAATATTTAGATCAAAATTTCGTAGCATGAATTAATTTCAAACAGTGAATTTTAAATGTAGAATGAATTCTAAATATATAGCTAAGGAATACAGAGACTGATTTTTAGACGATTTTCATTGCATTTACAAAAATAATTTACTTAAAATGTTTTTGTTTTAAATGTTCTGTTGGATAACCCTTATTCTTTATTATTTTTCTACACCGTAATTTCTATGACATTGAAAATAAAGCCTTTTGTCTTATCGCAATATATATTTTATCCCATTCCTCTTGAACAGCTTTCCAAAGCGCAAGGAGGGTTAAAGATCGACATCTGGACAACCCACTTTTTAAAAGACCAAAAGCGAAAAAAATCCACGAATAATACATCAGGAGATTTATTAGGGATATGTATATAGGTAATGACGTTGATAACCGCGGTCTACTTTTTCTAGGAAATTTACAGTGGAATTTGATATATGGCTGCTTGCTGTGACTTCATAGAGTTCTACTGATTGTTAGGCACTGTGAGTAAAGAGAAAATACTTCATATTTGAACATAGGGTACAAAATTATTTTCCTGATAACATGAAAAGTTGACCTTAATCTTTTTCACCACTCTTTTTATTTTTAATTTATCGTTATTTGAAAAACCATCAGCAATCATAAATCCCTTTAAAAAAAACTTTCTTTAGATTCCTTGAACTAGGTTTTAAGATTTTTTCCTCCTCTCTGATGATAATAAATGGATATATTTTTATTGCAGTCATTTAAGTACAACCAAGATTCCTCTACTGTGACAACATTTTTCCATTTTTATTCGGATAAATGTTTCGCATAAAGAATTCTGCGACGCTTTCTACGTTCGGTGATACGTTGTGGAGAAAAACGATGCACATTATGTTTTTCCGCCTTGAGATCCAAATTAGTATTAATTACCTTGTTTATAGTTGAATTTGAGCATTTTAATGATTTTGCAGCTGTCTTATGTTTTAATTTCAAAGATCTTACGTTTGCAACGTTCGAAGCATTCGGTTTTTTCCCTTGGATATGTATTTGGAATTTTGACATTTACTTCCTTTCTCGTTGACTATAGTACCTATCATAGCTTTAGATATCGAAGAACCTTGGCTTTCACAGAGTTTTAAATAAGTATATACGAATAATTTTCTTCGGAAAAAGCACAAACATAGCCTTTTATCCAGTGCTTCATTAAAAGCGACGTTTTGCATGAAAATAAAACTGTCAAGTGACAGACGGTACTTTATACTTTCAAAAATACAGTAGTTGGCATTAAAAAAATAATTTCCAAACAGACAGTTTTTTATAACCAAGTAAAATCGTCTGGAAAATGGATGAATAGCCTCTGTACTTTAGCTCTGTTTCTATTTTAGTTCTCTTTCTGTTTTTACCTGAGCTCAGCTTTTAGAATTTATTCGCATAAATGAAATGCTATCACACAGGCAGTGAGTCTTCATTGCTCGAAATGCTAATAGATCGGAGACATGAGGGATCAGCTTACGACGCTTTTATGCAAAATACAAATATGGATTAGCGCCTCGGAGGAAGTTTATGTTTGTTTAAGATATTATCATTTTTAAGGATTTCATCAAAACGTTATATTATATTTATTCCAATTTAATAGCGAAAATAACTTAATTCACTTTAATTTAAATACTGTATTTAATGCATATGATATACTAAATAACAGACTCAATAAAAATATTTACAACATAGCAATGAATATATAAATTATCAGAAAATTTGAAAAATCTGTAGTGCTTAGAAAACCACATACGTTTTCATACTAAGGAACTTTGCAGAGGTTTCGAGGGATATATAACGTTTACGTTTTTAGATCAAAGGTCACGACCTTCTGCGGGATGCGTAAAAGTCACTGAGGCTCATAGAAACATTTGGAAATTTTATTTAATTGTTCTGCGTAGTTAGATAGTAGTCCTTTTCGTTCGTATAAATAACATTACTTACTTGTTATGATGTAAAATATTGCAAAGTGTTTGAGAAAATGTTTTAAATAATTTTTTTTGTTACATGAATATATTTATTTCTTACAAGTCGAATCGTTGCAAATTTAATAAATCTGTTACCTTATTATAAATGTATGACGATTTTGTAAAGTTATAGATTAATTCAACTGAGACAATAGAATTACAAGAAAAAAAAAAAAAAAAAAGAGGAAGAGCCTAAGACTATAGTTCTTGTGGAATTTATAGCATATTTTGTCAGTGTGGTTTGAGATATATTGGCCAAACTGAAATAGTGTTAAAGTTTCGCATCAGGGACACGAACCTTATGTCCAAAAAGGCGAAATTAACAAGTCTTCGAGAACTATTTACAATTGGAAATTTTAATCATAATTTTGACTTTGGGCCTGCAAAAAGTTATTCGAGAAGCTTCTTCAATTGATGAATTGGATTTTCTGAAAGCTTTTCATATTCACAAAGATTTATCTTGTTTAATTAAGGATTTTAAGTCCAATCCAGTCTTTACTAACGCTTTTAAAATTCTGCTAACATTATTTTTCAATTTCGTTATTATTTTTGCCGAAAGATGGCGCTATTTTTCAATTTCGTTACTATTTTTGCCGAAAGATGGCGCTACCTTCTTGTTCGCTTTACTGCCGTAGGGAATAAATACCTGCTCCTGATGAAGAGGGGTCAGTATCTATTCGCCCTCGAAATGGATTGAGTTATTGATTAAATCTACGCCAAACACAAAGTTGTTGCTCTGCTAATTTTCTGAAACGAACAGAGTTATTGACAAAAGTATATACTTAGAAAATAGGAGGATACATATGAGATACATGGAATGATTCAAATGAGAATAGCAAATAGAATTATTCAAATTAGAGGTCGAGAAAAAATTTAGTTTATAAAAAGGGCGAAAGATTATAATTTAACATTTAGCCAATCAAATGCCGTCTCTGAGACTGTTTCATTTATGAATCAACGGCATTTGTTTTGTTTTGTTTTGTTAGGGCGTAACCCGATCCACCTTGCAAATTAAAGTTTGCCCTATGACCCTAAACGGGATACGCCACATCGGCATTTGTTATCGCATCGACAGTGAAGAATTTCAGTTTCTATTCAGTGGTAAAAAAATTTATTACCATTCTTTTTTTAAAGATTTTCAAAACTGCGGTTCACAAACGTCACGTTCCCTTTGCGTTCAAAAGCTTCACACGGCCGATGCAGAAACTATAATTTGGATTTCGTTACTCGAATACCAGTTATTAGTTAAATAGTAGAAGATCACGGGCTACATCTGCCAACACATATTTTATTTATAATAAACCGCATACTACTCCTCTCATATTCTATGAATTTTCTTTCTCAAATTACTGAAAAAAAAAAAAAATTTTTTCTCTCTGGTAGGATGAACATTTCTGATATATTTGTACAAAGTGTAGTGTCGCTTGTGAATTTATAGTGTTCTAGTACGTTTATCACCATATTTAATACTTTTAACATCCTTAACCGAAAAATTTCGGTTATTAGATTTCAAAGAAATTTCCAATTTGACTTTTTTCGGATCCATTTGCACGACTTTTCCACATGAATTCCGTACATGCGAACAGCATAAATGACTCCTCATTCCCAAACGGATCTTAAAATGGATTCAAAATGGACTCTTTTGAGCTATTGCAAAATCTTTAAATATTTCTATAGGAACTGACAAGAAAATTATAAAATATGATTTAGAGCTAATCAAAAAATAAAAAAAAAAATTATGTTCATCGCCTAACGCCGAAACACGTTTCTCAGCGTAAGACTACTATGTGCAGATTGCTGTATGAAAATTAAGTGGCAGGTGAAAAATGGAAACATATACTTACAGTTGATGAGGCTTAGATATACTTATCTGATTGCAATAGAGAAAGATCGATTAAATACCGAAAAAAGAGGAGAAAAAGGATTCTTTTATTATGGAAAACTTAGAAAAAGGGAAGTAGAAAAGTCAAAATTAATTCGGTTTAGTATGAGAAATATTTTTCAATACCTATTTTTAAAGAAGAAATTCCACCTCTTTATCCAAACAATCTTCACTATGTTAAGTTTCATCAGGATAAGGATCCGAGCCATGCCTCTAAATCTACTGCTCTATTTTTTGAAAAAAATTATAAATGAATTCGGAATTGAAGTTATTCCTTTTAAATGCATCTTTTTAAGTCCCGTG